GTACCCCCCCCCCCCTGCTGCTGTCATCCCGTGAGTGTTGGGAATATTCCACGAATATTCTCTTGGTTACGATTGTATTGATTGCTTCGATATATTTGTGCCGCATGCAGGGGTTGGCGCCCGACATTACAGCGGGGGGGGGGGCTGTTTAGTGTCGGAAAGTGCCCAGAGAACTGACCTGCACTCTACGGACACCGGCACTTATCAATCAAAGTACTGACGTTTCTGCCAGAGGGTCGGCCAAGGACCTAGCTGCAGACTTCCGATGAAGTTGTTCCGATCCTATTGTTCACCGTCGTCGGGAGGAGGACCACCTCATCACGAAACGAAACGACATATGAAACGGCACGATTTTGTGAGGTTTCTAAGTAATACTTCAATTTCTTTCAAACCGACAGCAAATGGTATGATGTGCATATTTAATGATCCGTTCTGTCGTGTCTAGAAAAAAAATTGCTGGCAAATCTAATTGGTACAAGCTGCTTAACGGAAATGAACCCCGATTTATTCAACGACCGCTGCCTGACGAAATATACACTGGTTTGTTTAATTTTTTATTTCTTGTTTCGGACGTTTTCATCTCTTTCACAGGAAAAAGCCCGGGGTAGAACAGCGACGAATTCGTTGTGTTGCATGATATGACCAACAACCTGTTTTTCTGCGGTTCTCCGAGCGACACGTAGCGATATCTCCCTTGTAGGTAACAGGCTCAACAAGCTAGTTCGGCGGTCGTCTCGTGTATGTGACTACTGCTGTATGTTATGCTGGAGAGTTCTCTCGCTCGGGGGCGGAGGGGGGGGTTCCGTCACACATTTATTTATCGTATCGTATCCGAAACGGTACAAAAGCAATCCGAAGGTTTTCATGACACATCGTTTTGTTGTGGTCTACTCGTCAACGAGCCTACTCCACGCACACGTGTATTGCAAAAATTAAAAATTCCGCGAGTAGAGCCTTTCAAGCATCTTCAAGTCTTCTTGTATCGCGAATAAGTAAACCTAGAAACCATAAAACATCCCCATAAAGAAAACGCTGAAAACGCAATTTTCTTCCGTGCTGCTCACCTGTCCAAGCGTTTTCGTCTCCTTCCGGTGTATGTACTGCTGCCCGGACACGAACACGTCGAGAGGATTCCTCAACGCCGTGACCAGAAGGTACGGCGTATGCACGTGCCGTTGGAAACCTTGCCCGGGGGCAGCGGGGGGAGGGGTGCACGGGAATATCGATGGTCAGCACTGCATATTAACGTGCTTGTGTGTGCACTCGGCAGGACATGGATCTCCGAGATCCCAGGGCGGTTACGCAGATGTGATGGACTTGACGCGAAGGCTCTCTTTGCCCCCCCAAGAAACGTAAGACAAGACGAAAACGGCGACCAACACCAACGCCACAAGCGCCAACACCAACGACAACAACAGAATCACCAACACCACCGCCACTCCGATCAACAATAACAGCAGTAGGAGTAGCCAGCGTTAACGTCACCACCACCAACAGCAACAGTAACGACGACAACAACTACAGCAACAACTACAGCAACAACTACAGCAACAGCAACAAGAACAACAACAACAACAACAACAACAAGAACAAGAACAAGAACAAGAACAAGAACAAGAACAAGAACAACAACAACAACAAGAACAACAACAACAACAACAACAACAACAACAACAACAACAACAACAACAGCAACAACAACAACAACAGCAACAACGACGACAACAACTACAGCAACAACTACAGCAACAACAACAACAACAACAACAGCAAAAGCAACAACAACAACAACAACAACAACAACAACAACAACAACAACAACAACAACAACAACAACAACAACAACAACAACAACAACAACAACAACCGTCAGTACCATATTCACAGAAGCAGCAGCATCTCACCCCACATGAAGTGGCCAGCCAGAACCTTGAGCCTCGAGATCTGTGCCTTCTGGACTTTCTCATCGATCAGCTCGTAGTGACTCAGGCAAATTTCGTCTCCCTGCCAAAATGGGAGGTGGGCAATGGCGATTGCTAAGGTCGGGGTTAACAGGTTGGAATAGCAAGCCTATTCAAGGCAGCAAGCATACAGAACGGGCCCGCAGATGAGAAATACTTCGAAGCATCAATATTTCGTCAAGAAACAGAGGCTCAACTTTTCATGAAAAAGAAAAAATGCAGTTCTAAGAAACAGCGGTGGATCATACACTGAAACGCTACGCAACAACGCGTGCTCGACAGTCTCGACGAAACAAGAAACAGAACCTCGACCCTATTTGATATTATTTATCTCCTGGCCCATTCTGAATGCGAGCAACGCCGACGCAGGACTGCGGGAAGCGATGTTGCGGCGAACGGCGCCAGGGTCAAGGTTAGCCCAAAGCCGCGCAGCCCTGGGCACCGGCAGCCCAGAAGCATCATATTACCATCACTATGAATTAGCGTGCCGCGTGTGCAGCAGCTACAATCGGTGGTCACACAGAAGGGAAGAGTTATTCTCCCGGAGCCCCCCTGCCCACCCCTCCCGGCGGTGCTGGCTACCGAGCACGTATGCAGCAGTTACAATCCGTGGTCACACAGAAGGGAAGGGTTAATCTCCCTGAGCCCGCCAACCTGCAGTGCTTGCCTTCGATCATGAACACTAAAAATAACAACCACGAGCACCTTCGTAGTGTAGTCGCACGCGTGCACAATCGCGCCAGCTTCCCCCTCGGCCTCGGCCCAGTCCGCCAGCATGCGTCTTGAGGGATAGGGGACATAGGTGGGGTTGGAGACAAACCGATATTTGACGCAAGTTGACAAGTGAGTATGGAAAGCGGAGTACTGGGTGAAGGTTGGATAGGAAATAGCGGGGGTTGGGGATAAACATATTTTCATGCAAGCTGAAGAGAAGGGTAAAAAACAAGAAAATCAACTACAGCAGCAACGACACGCGGGGCTAGAGATTGGTCTTAAGAAAGACAAACAATGGGTTGGAGACTTCAATGGCACGGAGGTGTTGCCAGCTAAACATGAGCGGGCGGGCGTTGTTGTATGGACGTTTCAGCCGTCGAAAGTACGAGTCGGAAACCTTCCGAGAACTATTATACCGTAGTTGACGCAAAATACCACCCACACCCCCTGAACCGATTCTCAAAAGCCCGATTACTCCACAACTACAAGAGTGACTTTTGTCCAAAAACGCATCGATTGAGATTTTCACCCCCTTCGCCGAATACCTCATGGCGCTTCGCGCTTGGTGATGTGAAAGCCTGGTCCGGTGAGAACCCGACGTGCTCCGTCCCGGCTTTGTAGGGGTGCGAGGTCAATGGTCTAACGACTACGGCATGCACGACTATGAGCACATTCTTCGTGGAGTAGTGGAGCTTTGAAAGTCGGTCCAGGGGAAGTGGTTTCGTGCGTCATGTCACCTACGGTAGGTACCCCACGAGGGTTTCAAGACGTGTCTTGTAGGGGGTGTTCACAGCCACGTTGCATAGTAGACAGCTGGCGCCAGCCCTTGGCGGGGCATGCTCTGCCGTGGTAGGTGCATGAGTCATCCCACGATAGGGTGGGGGGGGGAAGGGGCCGAAATAACGGTGGCGCTAGGCTACCGGGTTCGCGTAGCCCCCTGTATCTCTTCGAATCGCTCATGTGTTCCGAATCTGGTTTCGGGACAGGGACACCCATCCCATTGGCTTCCGTTCTGCTAAAACATTTGTTGTTGTTGATCGTTTTATCGTAAGATACGGAGCTACGCGTGAGCGTAGCCCATGGGGCGTACACCCTGCTGTGGGATGAGTCGTACGTATGTTGCAGATTTGGGGTGGATTTCTTAGATCAATCGTGACGGATCGATAAGACCAAAAGACCCGGTGACAACGACAACAAGGGGATTTTCATAGCATGTGCCACCAAATACTTGTTAAGGTCTTGTTACCGCCATCACGTACGTCAGGGTCGAACCGCTACAATAAAGAAACGCCTTGAAACAACTACTACGCCGCGCACCTCAGGGTTGAACCGGCACACTTAAAAACGTGCATGAACATGACGGTGCTCTCGTCGACGGTAGGGAAGGGCGCCGCGCCAGCGCCGCCTTGTCTCCCTCCCCCTCCCTCGAAAATTATGCCTCCTTCGCCGCCCATCGGCACCGGCGCCGGCGCCAAATCTTCCGGAGGCAGCATCGGCGACTTGGAGCCCAACTCAAGGTGCACCAGCGTCCTGCTTCTGCTATCCTTGCCGGTCCTTGTTTGCGAGGAAGCACCGCCGGACGGGTCATCCACAGCGGTGGCGGTAGGCACAACCATCATAGTACCATTTGTCGAAACAGCAGCAGCGGCTGCGGGTGCATCTGTTGCTGTTGCTCCCGCTGCTGCTGCTGCTCCTGCTGCTACGGCCATACCGCACAGCGCCAGGAGGGCGGTCGGTTTGGTGTTACGGGTTTGGACCATCACCGGCGGTGCAGCCGTCGTGGTTTGAGGTCTTGGCGGTTCCTTTTGCGGAGACAGATCCGGTTGTTGTGGTCGTGGTAAAGGGGGTGGGGAGATAGTTGGGGTTTGGATTATCATTGCAGCACGTCGCTGTGGGGGAAGAGACAGAGGAGGAGGAGAGAGAGAGAGCGAGAGAGAGAGAGAGAGAGAGAGAGAGAGAGAGAGAGAGATGATACGAGGGGAGAGTAAGGAGGAAGGGAAGAGAGATCGGAGGAGAAGGCACGACTCTTCCTCATGGCCACGGAGGATACCCGGACCAGGAAGGACACCTGCAACTGCGATGGACGTGCTGCTTGGTGTTGGCTGTCCGTGGACAGTGTACACGGCGATGAGCACGNCCAACAGAACGGGACAATGAAAAAAGCTAGCGCTATCAACCTGTACCCTATACAGGAAAACATGTTTGCATCCCAGACCTATGCAGAAGCTCACCCTGCCCTGAATGGCACAGCCATGTGCATGTTGAAAGGTCTGGTCAATGAAGGAAATGCCTGTCAGCGCCGACTTGTGTTGCGCGTCTCCTCGACGGCAGTAGTCGGTCCATATGTCGAGGACTGTCCGACAAGTAAGTCTCGCCGTGTTCCGTTTCATTGTCCCTAGGTTCCGTTTCGCTTTCGTACCAGAGGGATCAAAAGATTTCTCTAGGGTATCCCTGGCTGTTCAGGACTGCTGGCGAGATGCGCGGCACAAGCATAGGGCTTTTGCTGAAAGAAGGACGGAACAAAGAAAGCACAACCGAATTGTTAAGACAAGACAAAACCTAACAACAAAAAAAAACGGACAAAGAGGGATACAATGACACAACACTCGCACATGCGTACGATAATACCCCGGAGGGAACGGCAAAAGATCGAGACATTCCGCACTGCTGTTCCCGAAACGGACTGCCTACGCAAAGAGAGGAAGTTATTTACGAAGAGGGACCAGGCAGGGGGCACGCAAACCCTAACCCTGACCTCGAATTAGCCGATTCTATACTCTATTCAGTATTTTTCACTTACCTCGAAATTATCTGCTTTGGCTGCTGCCCGAAATGGACAAAATACACAAGCAAGCGTCCAGGAGGAAAAGGAAATAGAATAATACGTGGGGAGCCTTGGCCCTATTGCCGTGGAGGTGACACCCCCTAAGAAGAGCAAAGGAAAGGCCTATTCAGCCCTCGTGAGGTACCGGTATCTATGTCTTCGTCCCATCTATTCTGGCGCCAGTTTGTATGCCTTTCAGTGTAACTTCAAGTATAAGTTCTGAAGCAGCCTGAGCCACACAAGAGGAAGGTCACACAGGAGCATATGCAGGCGGCAATTGAGACCTCGATTTAGCTTTTGGATTATGTTTTCCATTGTCCTGCTTGGGGGGTGTTGCTGTTAATATTGATGTCTGTACAGTACCTTAAGCATGGTTATTTTTTCAAGGTTGGGATCCAACGGCATCACCTCCGCAAGGGGCGGAGCGATGGCATCCATCATTCGTAGACCGATCTTCAAAGCTCTATCTCTCCACAACCAAGGATGTGCCAACACCAATAATTGTGGTTTTGGAAACATCTCGACGACGGTTTTCCGTACAGACGCATCGGACTCTTTCCGTACCCACTTGGTTGTTGTGGAGTAACCGAGCTTCGAAAGTGTGCCTGAGGAGGGTGGGAGGAGTTCACTGAGGGATTTCGGTGCCGCATG